CTCAGGCCCCGTTTGAGCCACAGAATTCGTTTTGGCATCGTTGGATAGAGAATTGAAAACTCGATCTAATAATCACCACATGAGTGAGGAAATGCAAGTAGTTTTGACGCAGAAAGCGGAAATTGTGCGAAAAAAATACCTTGTATTCATTGTATCATGCTGGCCACCACTAGATGCTGCCCATTTGGCCTTTCACTACTGAGGCCGACCCAAACTGACGTCACACACCCAGGCGGGGGGGGTCTGGGAACCAGTCCACCCCGAAAACTTTCCGGTTGTGCGGGGAACCCGCCTCGAAGGTCATGCTAAAGTCAGGCGAAGGCCATTAAAGCCATCGGCGGAATTTTGGGGGACCCGATTAGGCGCATTCGATGCACAACGAGCGCTAATTAGCATTGGAAAGCGACCACTATCGCTTCGATTGAGTTAATGATCCATTGTACGTGCGGCAAGTGCTACGGGTGCAATAATTGTGCGGCCAATTAGCCAGTCGAGCACCAAAGTGGGTACTCGGCACACTCAGCGGTGGTACTTTAGTGGCAACGATTAGTGGGCACCATGGGCACGATCGACGGTAAATAGGCGCTGTTGTTTTTTTAATTTTTTATCAACACCTTTGGAAAAATTGGGGCTGCGCCCCCCGAAACTAGTGGGCAATAATCATTTAAAAAAATCAACCTGCCACTGTTGCCAAATTCCCCACTGATTGATTAGGCAGTCAAGTCAAGTGCGCGCCGATCGGGGGCGACAATGGCGCCCAAATGGCTGAAACGTGCGTTGAATTACAGGTTGCGACAGCGAGTTGCGCGGCCCGTTCCAGGCGGATGACGTCACGAACGAGGCCGACCCCGAGCTAACGGCCGTGCAAACGTTCTTCGACCAGACGAATGTGCTGATCACGGGCGCCACCGGCTTTCTGGGCAAAGTCCTGGTGGCAAAGCTGCTGCGCGCCTGCCCGACCATCGGCACCCTCTACCTGCTGGTGCGCCCCAAAAAGGGCAAGAATCCGGACGAGCGGCTGGACGAGATGTTCCAGGACGCGCCCTTCGCGCCGCTCACGACCGCCCGTCCAAAGTTCCGCCACAAGGTGGTGGGCGTGGCCGGCGACTGCGCCGCCCCCGACCTCGGCTTGAACGCGCAGGACCGCCGCCTGCTGTTGGACGAG